CCCCCCCCCCCCTGGCCCCCCGCCCCCCCGGGAGCCTGCCCCCCTCTCACCTTCTCCAGCCTGGCCCACCCCCTGCCACCCCAGCAGCAGCAGCAACAGCAGCCGCCGCCGCCGCCGCCCCAACAGTCACAGCCACAGCAGCCGCAGGCACCAACTCAGGGCCCCTCAACTGTAGGGGGTGCCCCTCCACTGCACACCCCAAGCCCCGATGGTTGTACTGCACCAGGGGGAAAACAAGCCGGAGCTGAAGGCTACGGCCCCCCCGCTGTGATGGCCATGCACCCTCCCCCGCTGCAGCACGGAGGCTACCACCCTCATCAGCACCACGCCCACTCCCACCCGGCCCAGCAGCCGCCGCCGCAGCAAGCACAGAGCCAGGCGCCCATCAACAGCACTGGCTTTGGTGAGCACGGAGGGGACGGAGGAAGCTGGGAGGAGGGTGAGTGAACTGTGTCCTGCCGGCAGGGAGGAGCCAGGGGTTCAGTCTCCTCCCCGCTTCCCTCATCTCAGTCCCTGGAAGTTGGACGTACAGCCCCGTACAATGGAGGATTGAGGTTGGGGATTTCACTGTTTCCTGTTCCGTGTGCATAGATGAGTTAGCATTGTTTTGCATATTTGCCTATGAGCTGGTGGTGCTAAAAGGACAAGTCGGTCTACCAGTCCTAAGTCTCCAGTGAGGGAGTGTCCACAGCTGTTCAGCAGGGTGGGTAGCTGTGAGAGACTGCTGTCTTCCACCCTGCCTCACTACCCGCCTTTCTCTCTAGCCTTTCCTCCAGACTGGTGCTCCAGTATTGACTCCTTAAAGGAAAGCTTCAAGATGGTGAACCGGCTCAACTGGTCCAGCATCGAGCAGTCCCAGTTCTCAGGTTAGCACCTTAAGGACTTCTTCTGGAGTGGAGAGAGGGATGGACTAGGACCCAAGTGATGCCCAAACGGGTGTGGGGCTGAGAGTTTCTTCACTTCTGCATTTATACCAGAAAGATATGAGCATTTGCAGGAGGTTTCAGAAGTTTGCCATCATTCAAATATTACAGTTCTTTATGCTGGTCATCTTGTGTCTCCGGGAAGAGCAAAGGCTCCTGGGAACTCAGAGACTCTGGACCACTGTTATGTAGTGTTGCTTCCCGACAGAGAGATAATAGTGAATTCATTAAGTCACTTTGGATATTTTTTAAATAATTTATTTATTCTTATTTTATGTACATTGGTGTTATGACTGCATGTGTGTGTGTGTATCAGATCTTGGAGTTACAGTTTTAACTGCCATGTGGGTGCTGGGAATTGAACCTGGGTCCTCTGGAAAAGCAGTCAGTACTCTTAACTGATGAGCCCTCTCTCCAGCCCCACTTTGAATAGTTTTATTCACCAATGAGATGAAAATTAAAATAAGAGCTGTAAAATGATGTAACTCTTGGCCTCTGGTGGTCATCTTGGGATTCCCCTTTAAGAAAAAACAAAATAGTTTCAAATTTAGTCAGAAGCATTCTTAGCTAGAGTGAAATGAGTAGGCCTGTTTCTAGCCTTTTTATATTCTAAAATTGTGAGTACAGATTAGGGTTAATGTAAGCAGTCCTAGAGAAAAAAATTCCAATTAAAAACTGGCACATTTATTGATACTTGTTGTCATATCACATTTCAATATATACTTACATACACAAAAAAGAAAGATGTAAGTCATTATTGTTAGTGCACCTTGTTGGTGGTAAAGATGAGAGGAAACCTTCCACCAGGCATGGTGTGGTGGGGGCTTTGGTAGCTCCTCAGGGTTGGCATGGCTGGTGTTCTCGTTTGTAGAGCTGATGGAGAGTCTACGGCAGGCAGAGCAGAAGAACTGGACCCTCGACCAGCATCACATTGCCAATTTGTGTGACTCCCTCAACCACTTCCTCACCCAGACTGGCCACCTGCCCCCACAAGGGGGCTCCCACCGGCCACCTGCCCCTGCCCGCATCACTGACTCCTGTGCTCTCACCAGTGGCAAACCAGAGCCATCCATGAACCAAGGTACTGCACAGAGTTGCCAAAGAAGCGACTGTGAAGGGAATGAAGGGCGAAGGAAAAGAGTGAGGAACCAAGTTTATAGGCAATGGCCAGGCTGAGTCTCGGGACTGTTTTATTGACGGAGCATCTGTTGAATCAATGAAGTCCTTCAGGAGCAGACTACCTGCCGAACCACAGAAGCAGCAGCCCTACTTCCTTTTCATACCTTGGTTTGGGTGATCAAAATTAGTTTTTTAAAAGGGAGGGAATTGGTTAAAGAAAGTCCTTATTCCAAATTGTCCTAGTTATAATATTCGCCTGACTCACACAGTGGGGTCAAGCCAGTGAAAACAGATTTTTTTTTTTTTTTCCCCCCGAGACAGGGTTTCTCTGTGTAGCTTTGGAGCCTATCCTGGCACTCACTCTGGAGACCAGGCTGGCCTCGAACTCACAGAGATCCTCCTGCCTCTGCCTCCCCAGTGCTGGGATTAAAGTTGTGTGCCACCAACGTGCGGCCTGTGAAGACAGATTTGATGATCGTGTTTCTGGTGATTTTCAGATCTCTGACATTTCACAATTCTAAGATCCATCCCATTTCACCCTAAGAACTGAGGACTGGTAGCTTCTACAGAATGCTTCTTGCTTGCAGACTCTATAAACCAAGGCAGGAAGAGAGAGAGAGAGACTGATGGGACAAGGGAACCTGTTCTCTCTTCCTGCTTTGTTGATTGCAATAATCCGCTAGTCAAGTAACTCTTGTTTTGCTTTGGTAGTGAACTCTTACGGGCATCCACCAGCTCCCCATCTCTACCCTGGCCCAGCACCAATGTACCCAATCTCCACCCAGGACACAGCAGGATACAGTCGCCCAGGTAAGAGCTGCCGTGTGTGATTTACACACAAGCTCGCTCATCTCTCAGTGCTGTTTTGCTTCCCTCTGGAATCCTTTCTCTGCCCTTCTGCCTACATCTGCTAGGATGGGAAGGAGCATGCTTCCCAAGACTGAAGCATGAGATGAGCCGCCCTCTAGGGAGCTGCGCATCCGGTGAGACTAAGAAAGGCAGTTTTATTTAATGAAATTTGCTTTGTTTTTTAGTGCTGGGAGTGGAGCCGGAACCCACACATAGTAGACAAGAGTTTACTTCTGAGCTACACCACTAACTTGGGATTGCTTTAAAATTACCGTATGGGAGAGATGGCTCAGGGGTCAAGAGCACTAGCTTTTCTTCCAGAGGACCTGGGTTTGATTCCCAGCGTCCTCATGGTTTACATGGCTTTCAATGTCTGAATCTCCAGTTCCTGGGGATCTGACACCCTCTTCTGGCTTCTGCTGGCACTGCATGAATGTGAGGCTCAGACATACATGCAGGCCAAACACACATACACATATAATAAATTTTTAAAAAAAGATTTTATTTATTTATTATGTATACAGCCTTGTGCCTGCATGTCAGCAGAGGGCACCAGATCTCTTTCAAGGTGGTTGTGAGCCACCATGTGGTTGCTGGAAATTGAACTCAGGACCTCTGGAAGAGCAGTCAGTGCTCTTAACTGCTGAGCCATCTCTCCAGCCCCAATAAAATATTTTTTAAAAATTTAAAAATATACCTTGTGACTGCAATACTGAAAGGAAGTAAAGATAACTGTGAGGAATATGTCCTTTATGTCCAGCTTTGGAATCAAGATGGAAGAGAGGCAAATAAAATGAATATTTTATATAAACATTTTACCTATGTCTATCCTGTCACCTGACCATTAGTATCTGGGATCTGGGGTCAAACTATCATTTTTTTTTCTTTTTTGTATTTGTTTTTTGCAGTGTTGGGGTTAAATTTAGGGTTTCTTAAATGCTGGACAAGTGCTGTACCCCTGAGTTCCTTCCTCAGCATGGGATTGAACTATCTGTGATGGTGGGATGGGCAGAGTACAGGGAGACACCGAACCACTGTAGATGGTACACATGGACAGATCCCTCGTGTTTAAATGGGTTTTAGAAGTTCACTGTTGACGTCTTACGTGATCACAAGCAGTTTTTGGGTGACGTTTCTTTATCCATGCACTGCAAATATGACTGTCTGTGTTGTTGTTTATATACCACCTTCTTAAATTATTTTGTCGGTTAGGTAGTCTTCAAAATTATAGTTTATGGCATGTGCTTTGGTGTGTTTCCTGAGATATCGCTGAATCAATAGTCTATAACGGAAAGAACTGTAGGTTAATGAGCCCGGTGCTTCTCCCTGTCCTACGCGGTGCCACTGGGGCAGAACACTCCCCGTCTAGACTCATGGACTGGCTTCTCCTCCAGCTTCCCTTATGTCTTTCTTCTTGACAGCGCACCACATGGTTCCTCGGCCACCTGTCCCACCTCCCGGTGCCAATGAGGAGATCGCTGATGACTTCGACTGGGACTTGATCACTTAAAGAATCAGAGTGGACAGCAGCCCAAGGCCTGGTGGTGAATTCTCGCCACGGGGGAAGAACAGTCCCCGCCCCGCGCATCCTCCCCAGACCTGTATATAGATACATAGCTTCTTAATGTTCTCTCTGTCAGAGAGAACACCGCAAGATGCTGCCGAAGATAGTCCCTTCCTTCCTCGTTCTCTTTCCTTCCTAGTTCTTTCATTATTATTCTAATTATATTATTATTATTATTATTGGTTATCTACTGCCCAGTCTACTGTCCCTTACCATGGGCTATGTCCTCCTCTTTTCTATTTGAAATCTTCCAGCTGCAAGATGAGGCCATGATAGTTTAGAGAAAGGTTTCAAATTCTAGTTCACCTTTCTCTCTAAGAAACTCAATGCTACTCCCACCTTTCAGCTCTAAATTGTGTTCTGTTCCTGCTGGAGAGGTCTCAGCAGGCAGATTGGGGGGGGGGTCTAAGACACTGCTTGGCAGCCATGACTTCACAGGTTTTACTCAATGGTGCTAATTGTGTCCTCTGAACTCTTCCTTTATGCACCCCGTCTTTATTCTTCTGGCAGTCCTCATTCCCCATAAAGGGTGGGCTTGGACAGCTGAGTTGAGTAGAAAGCCCTGGAGAAGTGATTGGATATAAATCAGCATGAGGTTAGGTGTGCACTGCCGTGTCAAGGCATCCCTGGCTTCCTCCTAGCTAATGCTCTCAGGTTAGCATGAGGACCACTGTTCATCATAGGTTCGGTCTCTTGGAAACACTTCCAATTGAATGTATTTGGTTTTGGAAAAAGAATTCTTTTTGAGAATGAACTGTGGCTATGACTCAACATGTAAGTTATCTTCCATCTTTTCCCCTTCAGCAAATACTCTTTTGTCTTCCTAGAGCTGTTTGTCCAAATCATCCACCTGTCTTGCTTTTTTCCCGTTTTCTGGGATTCTCAAATGACACAAGGAAGCCACTCTCATTCTGGGTTTCTTTATGTCCTAGGCATGCTGTGGAAACCTTTCCCACCTTCTCAGCTGACTCATTCCCGTGGTATTGCTGATAGGAAGGAAGGAGGGGAGGAGAAAGGGATTGGCAGGGAATGTGTCATTTGTTTAGCTACACAGGGAGTGAATGCATCGCTTGAAATCCCTGTTGGTGTGGTTGAAGCTTTTGCTTTTGACAGGCAATGAAAGTTTTAAGAGGGAAATTAATATAGACAGGATTCGGAGAGGGCAAGGGGCACTCCTGGGCACAGGGGCATGTAATCTCAATTAACCATAAGTGGCCAGGACTAATTTGCTGCAGAGTTCTTAGTGAATGTTTGTTGAATTTGGCTTAAGAGAGGGAAGACCAAGTTTACTTCCATTTTTCTGAAATGGATAAAATACATAGTTTAGACAAGGCCAGTCTCTTTGTGGTTTCTGACTTTTGTTCATTTTCTTTTATTATTCCAAGATATTGGGCTTCCCATTCTGATTTCCCTATCACCAACCCCATTCCTTTCTTTAGAAGGGGGTTAAAGTATGAGATAGTTGAAGCCCAGTGAGGCTAAGTAAAGGGGCAGTTCACTAAAGAGCACTTTATTTCTTTTGAAGCCTTTGTAAGGAAAAAAAGAGGGGTATAAGAAAAAAAACAAGTGCCCTCCAACACAATGGGATATTGTATTGGAGAGCACTTGGTGGGGTTGAAGTATGATGCAATATTTCCCACTGGGGAAAGGAGTGTTTCTCTAGAGGGTGGCACAGCCTTTGCCTGGTACCCAGTTAGACATTTCCTTTTTCCTTCCCTTCCGGTGTATTCTACGCAGCTTCCCTTTGGTTCTCGTCAACATCTTGTCTTTGCAGAGTAACACTCCTCTTTTCTCAGCACCTTTCCTGGTTAGATCTGTATAAGGTTGGGAAGGGTAGGCTGAGTCATACTCCTAAATGCCCCGGTCTCCTCCACGTCTTGAGATCCAGTCTCACGAAGGGCCCGCCCACCATGGGCAGCCAGAGCTGCTGAAGTGTGGGGCTGGGGTCTGGCCTTAGGCCCCCTGATGATCCAACCCTTCTCCACCAGGCTTAGGCTTGCAAAATGGCACAGGACAAACTTGATTCCCTTTGGGCCTCAGTTTCCCATCCCCTCCATGAAGTGGAAAGAAAACTACTTTATTTTGTTGGTCCAGTGTTGCTGGACATGAAGTTTTGTCATTGTTGTTGTCTTGGGTGATGTGTGCAAAATTGTAGGAGTCACTGCCTATCAGAGGAAATAAGGGAAAAAGCAGAGGAGGAGGGCAAAAGGAGAGGTCATTTGGTATTGATCCACCTATCCTAGGCTTCCTCTCCTCAACTCCCATGTTTCTGGTTTGGTGAGTTCTTTATACCACCCTTAATGCTTTGCATTGGTGCAGGCTGGGAAGAGGGTGTATAGGCTCACAACTTGATTTTTTTTTTTTTTTGCATGCTTTCTTAATAAAAAAAAAAAAAAGAAATGTTTCCAGTTTTCATCTTATTGGTACTTCTCTCTAACTTCTTTCTGCCAGGGTGGGAGAGGAAAAAAAACGTGAAAGCGCCCAGCTCCTGCTGGCATTGTGCTACTCCTCACCCATCCATGCTCCTGGGGTTGCTCAGCTGACCCTGACTGACTGTTTGCTAGGGTGATGGAAAAAAAGAATTAGACATGGATTTCAGTTTTCTGTAAAATGCTATTGAGTGTAGTGAAATCTTGTTGGAGGTCAGTGGGTAGAGGAGGCCCACCTTGTTTGCATGCTAGTTCAAAGGGTAGACACAACCAAGAAGCTGTTTGCAAAGGATGCCTGCTAAGAAGGAAATGTCACTTTCTTCCAATGCAGTGCCACAGCGTATATCATTCACACTCCATAGCTGTCCCTATGGCCGGGAGTAGCTAGCCAACACAGAGCAGACTTCATGTTTTTTTGTTTTTTTAAAGATTTTATTTATATTTATTTATTTATTTATTTATTATGTATACAACATTCTGCTTCCATGTATATCTGCACACCAGAAGAGGGCACCAGATCTCATAAGGGATGGTTGTGAGCCACCATGTGGTTGCTGGGAATTGAACTCAGGACCTCTGGAAGAGCAGTTGGTGCTCTTAACCTCTGAGCCATCTCTCCAGCCCCGACTTCATGTTTTTTTTTTAATGTGTGCTTTTTATGTTTTTGTTTTTTCCATGACAAGGTATGTCTATAACAGCCCTGGCCATCTTGGAACTTGCTCTGTAGACCAGGCTGGCCTTGAACTCACAGAGATCTACCTGCTTCTGCCTCCCAAGTGCTGGGATTAAAGGTATTCGAATATGATTATATTGTCTATTTTTTATTTTTTTATGTATGTGGGGCCTAGGGAAATAGCTCAGCAGTTATGAACACTTTCTACTCCTGCAGAGGACCAGGATTTGGTTCCCAGCACCCACATAATGATCACAACCACCTGTAACTCCAGTTCTAAGGGATCCGACACCCTCCTGTAGTCTCTGTGGGCATCAGGCGTATAGGTGGTACATGGACACACACACAGGCAAAGCACTCATACACATAACATCTAAACAAAAAAAAGTTAAAGGATCAGTGAGTCTCAAAAGCGTTTATTCATATGGAATATATAAATTTACATTGGAAAGGCAGAACTGCCATCTTATGCCCAAAATTGCCTTGCACAAAAAAAGATTCTTAGTTATTTGAAATTTTTCTATACAGTTGTTTATAAAACAGTTGTGGAGTAAAACCCTTCCCTCAACAACTGAACAAATGTTTTACAAGACTAAAATACATTTAATTTTCTGTCTTTACTCATTCATCTTAGATCAGCCTATTTGTGAAAAGAAGCTTGAATTTCCAATGATTTAACACATAAAAGTATATGCATAATAATAGAAATACCAGCAGCTGGAGAGATGGCTTAGCAGTTAAGAACACTGGCTGTTCCCCCAGAGGACCTGGGTTCAATTCCCAGCACCCACATGGTACCTCTCAACTGTAACTCTAATTCCAGTGTACCCAACACCCTCATGCAAGCAAAACACCAATGCACATAAATTAAAAAGAATAGATGATGGGAGTTGCTAATTTTTAAAAATTAAGCTAAAGGTTTAATGTAATACTATGTATAATAGCTGAGATTTAGAACCTGCCTAAGTGTCTGTTAACAGTTGGGTGGATAATGGCAACGTGCTACACACACACACATCCACTACAGTTTTATTCAGCCATAGGGATGGGCAAAAGCCTGTTATTTTTAGCACAAAGGATGTAAGATGAAGTGGACACAGAAGTACCACATAGTCTCATATAGGAGAACCTAAAATGTCAACCTGAGCAGACTTGGGAGTAGCTCAGTTAGTAGGATGCTTACTTAGCATGCTTGAAGCCCTGGTTTTGATTTCCAGCAGCATATAAAACGGTACATAATGGTCTATGCCTGTAATCCCTGCATGGGAGGTAGAGACAGGAGGATTGGAAGCTCTTTGGTTGCACAGCAATATTTTGAGGCCACCTGGGATTCTTGAAATCTTGTCTTAAAAAAAAAAAAAAAAAAAAAAAAAAAAAGGTCAACCAGAAAGTAGAGTAATGGTGAGGCAGAGTCTGGGGGTGGAAGTGTGAATGCTATATGCATGTATGGATCACTCACATTGCCTTGTATGTACGATTAATACTGGTTTATATAAAAAACAAAATGACAGAAGAAACGCAGTATGTTATCAAAATGTGTTGACAAGAAGATTGTGTAGTCAGCTGGTGGGGGGCTGGTGCTCTGGTCTAGGACTGTAACAAAAGACCTGTGAGTCTGAGGCTAGCCTGTTCTACACAGAGGAGAGACCCTGGCTCTAAAGCAAACAAAACCTAACAACAAAAAGTAAAAGGCCGGGCGTTGGTGGCGCACGCCTTTAGTCCCAGAACTAAAGGCAGAGGCAGGCGGATCTCTGTGAGTTCGAGGCCAGCCTGGTCTACAGAGCGAGTGCCAGGATAGACTCCAAAGCTACACAGAGAAACCCTGTCTTCAAAAACAAAAACAAAACAAACAAACAAAAAAGTAAAAGAGGCTGTGTGGTGGTGGCGCATGCCTTTACTCCCACCACTTGGGAGGCAGCCTGGTCTACAGAGTGAGTTCCAGGACAGGCTCCAAAGCTACATGGAGAAACCTTGTCTTGAAAAACCAATAAGAAAAAAAAAAGGAAAAGCAAAAGAAAAAAGGATGGTCTTGGACAAATTAAAATATGACACCAGGGGCAGGAGAGATGGCTCAGTGGTTAAGAGCACCGACTGCTCTTCTAGAGGTCCTGAGTTCAATTCCCAGCAACCACATGGTGGCTCCCAACCATCCATTATAAGATCTGGTGCCCTCTTCTGATGTGCAGATATACATGGAAGCAGAATGTTGTATACATAATAAAAATAAATAAAATCTTTTTTAAGTTTAAAAAAAAATATGATACTAATCCACACTGGGATGTTGGATGAAAATATGAAAGTGGATAAAATATTCATCCTTCAAAACAACCAGTTTTATCCTGTCTATGAAAACCAGCAGTGTACGTGCGTGATTTAGGCACATCATGGTAAATGTCAGAACAAATAGCTAACATTCTTGCAAAGGTGATCTCTTGAAGTAAGAGGGAGAGAGGAATTACTGGGCATTGGAGAAAGAGGCCTCTTGTATTTCATTATTATATCATTACTCATTAGTTCCTTTAAAATTGGGTGCATATATTAGTTTATAATACCATGGTCCAGATAAATATTAATTTGGAAAAGCCCAAAGAGAGTGTGCCTGGTGCTTTGGGCACACATGACACCTAGACTTGTGTTTCTAGTATTTTGATAGTGTTGCCATCAGAGTGCAGTGACCTGAAAGTGAGTTGAAGAATGACAGTTCCACCTTTCAAGCCACTGGAGCGAGGGGAAAGGCATCTTTAGAATACTGCTTCATTCTCCTTGAGCCACAAAGCCTAATGTGGAAGACTAAGAAGGGGGCCGGGCATGGTGCTGCATACCCCCAGCCCCAGCAGGAGATGGAAAGACCCGGTGCGGAAAACAGAAAGAAAATTCAAGAAGTCAAGAAATGAGACTTTGAGGGCCATGGTAGCACATGCCTTTAATCCCAGCACTCAGGAGGTAAAGGCAGGCAGATCTCTTGAGTTCCAGGGCAGCCTGGGCTACACAGAGAAACCCTGTTTTGAAAAACAAAAAAATAAGTAAATACATAAAAAAAGAAAAAAGATAAGCGACACAGATGGTTCTGTGAGCATGCGGAAGAGCACGCCAAACCACAGCTTTCAAAACATTCCATGAATCAGTAGGTAGGGTTTTATGTGTATCGATGCTCATTTGGGGGTAACCCTGGGCACCTGGAATCGTCTGAGGACGCTTCCGGTAGCAGGCATCTCGCTCTGTATTCTGTTCCAGTCTCTAACTCCTCACTACTTGCTTTCATAGGTCTTTCTTCTTTGTGTCTTTTCTTTTTCCCCACGTGAAACCACCACCACCATAAAGCTGTACAATAAGTGAATAACTCAGGACAACAGAAGCCGCCTTCCGTGCAAACTAAAAGGTGCTAAGGAAAAAAGATTAATACTGAAAACTGATGAGGAAGTTATTTATCTCTCACGGCTTAGTTAGGGAGAGGAATAGACTAACCAAATGATTGAAAAACTTAACATTAACCAGAAGCAAGAGGACCTGTTAAAACACTGGTCCCCGTGGGCCGAAGATTCTGAGTCAACAAGCCTGCGATGGGGCTTGAAAATTCGCGTCTTTGATGTTTCCAAACCATGCTGAAGCCAATAGTCCGAGACCTCTCTCTGAGAGCCACCAGATTGTCTCAAGTGGCCTGCTCACATGTCATCCTTCACGAGTATTCCAGTATTTGCTTGAGAACAGCAGCTTAGGCCCCCAGCTCTGCATCTTCATACATCTGTACTCAAATTGTTTCTTTTTGAGGAGGCTTTGTCCTGGGTACAGCTGGTAGAGTGTGTGAGCTCCTCACTGAAGGCTGCCTCCAGAATGCCCTTTATGGACTGTCTTGCTTTCTTCCTAAAGTCTTTCCCCAAAAGGGCATAAAGGAAGGGGTTGAAGCAACTGTTGGCAGATGCTAAAGCAATGGACACGTAATCCCAGGATAACGCAGCTTCCCTCAAAGGAGTTCCTGGGTCAGCAATCAGTAATAGGACTCCAACAATATGGTATGGAGTCCAGCAGACAAAAAAGACAGTCACCACCACCAGGGCCACCCGAAAGGTTTTGCTCCGAGACTTGGTGAAGTTGGTTTTTCTCATTCGGAAGACAATGAGGCTGTAACAAGCCATCATGATAAAAAGGGGCACCAGGAAGCCCACCACCAGCCTTGTGATGGTTATTGCCACCATAGGTATTGGCTCGTGGTGTTCATACTTGAACTGGGCGAAATAGTCATCCTGGAAATCTTGTGACAGCTCAGGGTGGTATATGTCACTGCTGGAAGCAGTAGGGGAAAGCTCTATAGGAGAGGAGAGAAAAGCACGGGCTCCATGCGTGTTGGCTCTGTGATCTCCAACAGGAAACCCACTGGGTATGGCAGGCACAAGCACACTAGGAAGCTCTACACTGTAATGGGATTGTTGACTAGACAGTCCTGCTGAGTCTAGAGGGAATGAATCTTCAGAAGATCTTTGATGAACAGAGGAGTTGTCAGTAGAATTGCTTTCTGGTAGATCTATGTCGTACAAGTAGTCCCAATAATCAAAATTCCCCTGGAAACCAAAATTATAGCCACATTTACTGTGATTGTCTATAGTGATCAGGTCACGGTATACAAATACTGGTACACACATCACAAAGGCCACCACCCAAACGCATCCACAGATGGCTAAGGCTGTCCTCACATTCCGATGATTCTGGCACCAGATTGGCTTGTGTACCACCAGACAGCGGTCCAGGCTAATGGCAGTAAGCAGGAAGACACTGGCAAACATATTGAGGACAATAATGGATGGGATAAGTTTGCATAGGAACAAGCCGTAGGGCCAGTAGCCCCGGAGAATCAGGTGGGCCAGGGAGAAGGGCAAGGAAAGGCAGCAGAGGAAATCAGCCAGGGTGAGATGGAGAAACCAAACTGTGTTCACAGTCCGCTTCATCTTTAGGCCAGCCACCCACAGCACCAACCCGTTGCCTGGCAGTCCCAATAGACAAGTGAGGCAGAGAAGGATCATGGAGAGGATGTCTTGAGGTTTAAACAGAGGCAGGGGTTGTGGGTCAGTTGAATTTGTGTCAGCAGAGAAAGACTCCATTGCCAAACCTGAAAAAAAGATGAAGAATATGTTAAAGCTTTGTAGCAACTTTCTGAAAATAGACACTCTAAGGAGGCCTTATGAGATGGTGCATCCTGTCGGTCCCAGAGGCTCTCAGGAGTCTGGTTTGCATCCCTTCACCAGAATAGACTCACAACAGCATTCTCTAATAGACGATTTAATATTTAATAATTCTAATAGATGATTTAAAATCTATGATATTGACTTAATTGTGTATCAAAAAGATAACTTCATTTGGAAATCCACATTCACTCAAGGCCCCTCCCGCCCCCTTTTTTTTTTTTTTTTTTGCCCCATGTTTTTTGTTGTTTGTTTTTTTCCAGTGCTGGAATTCGAGCCTAGGGCCTGCAAACACTGGGCAGCACTCTCCTGAGCTGCAGCCTCACCCTTTGGCTTTTTGGCACAGGAACTCCATGTTGCCCAAGCTGGCTGACTTTGGCTGACTTCCAACTGACCATATTGTAGAGTAAACTGCCTTGAACCCATGATCCTCCTGCCTCTGACCTCTGAGTGCTGGGGTGACAGGCATCGCTACCACGCTTTGCTGTGATACTTTCTGTTCCCCATTTCCAGGGCTTCTTCCTTGACTCAGTGTCCACTATTAAAACTGAACAGATGTCTAAATGAGCAAATAAACAAAAATTCTAGGCAGATTCTCCCTAGTCTGAAGTCATTGAAGGACTTAAGGAGATTTCACCACACTGACAACAGCATATAAAAGTTGAACTTTGCATATTGTTATTTCATTTATTTGTTTATTTATTGTGAGCATGCGTGCGTGCGTGCGTGTGGAGGTCAGAGAACAACTTTGGGGGCTCGGTTCTAGCATACTCCAGCTACCTTATTATATTCAAGCTTCCTTATATCAGTCCTTTTCATGCATATGTACATTTTAAAAACAAAATTTAATGAGATTCAGTTGTGTCATGAATATTTAAAAATTGATGGTGATAAAATACACATATAGCATAAAATTTACCATCCTAATTAACCACTTCAAATATATAATATAGCAGTAGTTTAGTTAGTTTTCATGCAACTAATTTCCAGGATGTTCTTATTTAATAAAAACAGGAATTCTGTACTTATTAAACACTTTTGCCAGGTGTGGTAGCACACGACTTTAGTCCCAGCACTCAGGAGGTAGATGCAGGTGGATCTCTGTGAGTTTGAAGCCAGCCTGGTCTACAGAGTGAGTTCCAGTACAGCCAGGGATGTATAGAGACCCTGTCTCAAAATAAATAGATATATAGATAGATGATAGATCCACCAATTGATAGATAGATCGATATATAGGTAGATTGATAGATCGATCATAGATAGATAGATAGATAGATAGATAGATAGAAAGAAAGAAAATCTCTCAATTTAAGCAACTACCATACTTTGCTCCTATGAACTTGATTACATACTTCATGTAAGTGAAGTCATATGACACCTGCCTTCCTTTTTCCTTCCTTTCCTTGTGTGTGTGTGTGTGTGTGTGTGTGTGTGTGTGTGTGTGTGACAGGCTTGCCTTGAACTTTCAGCAGTCCTGCCTAAGTCTCCCAAATAGTCGGATTACAGGCAAGAGCCAAAATGCCCAGCTCAGTCTTTTTCTTTTTATGTCCTTAAGCTTGTCATAATATCCCCAAGTATGAGATGTGTCAGGATTTTCTTTTAAGGGCTAAGGGTGCCTCTTGGTGAGTGCCTATAATCCTAGCACTTAGTCACAAGGTATACGCATTGCCACCAGTTCAAAGCCAGTGTGGGCTATGTAGTAAGAGCCTGTCTCAAAACAAAATGGAATGCATTTGATATTCCAGTGTGTGTGTGTGTGTGTGTGTGTGTGTGTGTGTGTGTGTGTAGCATATTTTATTTATCTATTAATCTGACATAGACATTTGAATTGTTACTACCTTTGGGGCATTTAAACACTACAGCTGTATTTCTCTGCTTTCTATTGCTGTAATAAAACACTGACCAAAGGCAACTTGGAGAGGACAGAGTTGATTTCTTATATATTCCAGGTCAGAGTCCATTGCGGGAAGTCTAGAGGCAGACACTGAAGCAGCCACAGGACTTTGTTTGCTGGCTTTGCTTCTCATGGCGGCTCACTCTGTTTTATTATACATCCCAGGACCATCTGTCCGCCCACTGCGGGCAGTGGGCTGCACCCTCTCATGTCAGAGGCAATCAACAAAATGTCCCACAGAGTTGTCTACAAGTGATCTGATGGATGCATTTTCTCAAGTGATGTTCCTCTTTCCAGGTAACTCTTAGCTTGTGTCAGGTTGAGAGAAAGCCACCCAGAACAGCAGTTACAGGTATAACTTACAATGCTTTCTAGACTTACTGTTTCAGTTTAATCCCCACATCACACAGAAAGATTCAATTTAAAGGAATGTCAAGTTTTTATCCAATTATTTTCCAACTTTCTCCCTAAATACCCTTTTTAAAAAAAGTTTTCATGTTTTTAGTCATTTACTTAATCCTTTATTTTTTGATGTGTCTGTGTATGTGGTCGTGTGAACCTATATACCCCACATGCATGCAGGATCCCCTGGAACTGGAGTTACAGACAGTTGTGAGCTGCCATGTGGCTGCTGGGAATTGAACCCAGGACCTCCGGAAGAGCAGCCCTGTGCTCTTAACCCCTGAGCCATTTCTCCAGCCCCTAAATATCTTCCATAATGATCCAAACTGTGACCATATCACCCATTAGAGTGCTGGTAAACTTTAACACAGCTTCTCTTTCAAGGCTGATGGCTTGTTTGTGGGCTTATTATTATGAATAATCATTCCTTTTTGCTTGTTTATTAAAGACAGGGTTTCTCTGTGTATTCCTAGCTGTCCTTGAACTCACTCTGTGGACCAGGCTGTTCTTGAACTCAGGGATCCACTGCCTTTTGCCTACTGAGAGCTGGAATTAAGACATGTGCCACCACCACCCAACTTGAACAATCATAATTAACTCTCTTTTTCTCGGTTTGGGTTTATTTTGTCTTCTGCTCCTAATGCTCTGCTAAAATTGCATGGAGAACTCAAACAAACCAATTTCTCTGTCTTCCACAATGCAGTTCTTATCAGTCTCTCCTCCTGGTCTCCATGACATCCTTCCAATCAATGCAATTTTATATTTCTGAACTGGGGCTAATGATCTCCATTTAGAATTATGTCTCTTGTATGGCTTCTTCCTTTCTCTACATTAAATTTCTGTCTGTTAAAATATTTACTCCTCAAAGGGAAACTCAATGCCTTTTGTCTGAAATATCTTCTTATAATCCCTTGAAGATTCTTTAGTCTCTTCCTTGCATGGGATAAGCCTGTGTGAGTGTGTGGCTGAGTCTCTTCGATTTGCTCTATGAGGTGGCATATTTCATCATACTTTGTAATTCTTACAGTGACCCCCAAACTGTGTGATGGTAATGACAGACCTGTTTATAAATGCCTATTCCACGGGATTTAACATGTGGATGGTCACTTCTTTTCTTTTGGTTTTTCTGAGATGAAGCCTGATTATATAGCTCAGGCTGGCCTCTAACTGAAGAACACCTGCTTCAGTCTACCAAATGTTGGGATTACAAGGCATGCACCACCACGACAGGGGAATGCTTGCTTTTCATTTTCAATTACATTTAAATTTTAGTTCTTAGCCTTCTTATTTTTACCCAGATGGCTTTCTTAATCCCTCTGCTGTCTCTTCTAATTTCTGTTTTGTTTTTAAATATACAGGGTATAATATATAATAACACTTTTTTTTTTTTTTTTTTTTTTTTTTATGGAAGCCCAGACATTTGGAAGTCATTCTGCTGAGCTTAACAAAGCTTGCCACAAGGTCTTATGTGGCAAGCGGAAGTTGAAAAAACAAGTCAACAAAATGAAAAAAGGAGAAATGATTCCCATCCTCCTCCTCCTCTGTCTTTTTCTGCTCGGATCTCCAAATTCCAGCAGTTCTTAACTCAAATGGCAAGCGTGCCGATCTATTGTCCCATCCCATTGTTAATGCACAGGACTCAAGATATTGAGAGAAAAAGTCCGAGATTGCTAGGAACAAACAAGCATTGCAGATGTCATCTCTCCTGACTTTACAGTTTCTGATGCTGAAACTCAGGGGATTTTGTGGCCTTCACATGATCACAACCAGGAAGAGTCATAAGTGTTTCATCCAGTGACTGCTAGGCCAGTGCTCTTTCCACTGCAAGGGTCACAGAGCTGAGAAACTTTGGTCTCGATAAAAAAGTGGACGGAGCAAGTTAAAATAACAGTGTCGTTGCTATCTGTAAGGAGTTGAGAAGAGCAAGGTCCTGATGTAAGAGAAACTGAGCTCTATGCTTGTGAGTTATGGTTTAAATATCACAAATTATGTGCCTTGTAAGTGTATGCAAGTCACCTTCAACAGTCACCCAGAGCAAGATCACAGTTCATATGTCCCCAAGTTTTGAGCAAAAAGAAAAAGAAAGAAAGAAAGAAAGAAAGAAAGAAAGAAAGAAAGAAAGAAAGAAAGAAAAAAGGAAACAGGGCTGGAGAGTTGGCTCAGCGGTTAAAAGCACTGACTGTTCTTCCCGAGGTCCTGAGTTCAATTCCCAGCAACCAAATAGTGGCTCACAACCACTCTGAATGAGATCTGGTACCCTCTGCTGGCATGCAGACAGAAGACTGTATACATAATAAATAAATAAAATCTTTTAAAAAAACAAAAAAAAGAAAACAACAACAACAAAAAAACAAAACCTCTATGTTTAAGATTATTAGTTATCATTTTAAAAGATTTTTTGTATTCAGTCAGCCAGTAGTAATGAAAAGATATGTAAAATCTTGAAACTGAAACTTATCTATGATTAGTAAAGAAAAGTGGATTTCCCAGTCAAATACTAATTATAGGATGATAGAACCAGCAGCGCTAAGGATGGGGAATTTAGAGAGAGAGAGAGAGAGAGAGAGACAGAACCGGAATTCACAAATGGGTATATACATATATACATATATACATATATGTAATGTGTGTATCTGTGATCAACGATTGGAAAACAACACTAATGGGAACAAACAGAACCAGAGGCCAGGAGAAACAGTCATAAGTGACAGGGAATAGTGACATACACATTCATTATTTTCAGAATGAAAATATTAAAAGCAAAGACAAATAGAATGAATCGTATTTAGAGAAAAGGAAAAGTAGACATGGGGATAAAATAAGACAGGAGAAATAAAAGTTATGGCATGATGGCGCTAGCCTTTAATCTCAGCACTCAGGAGGCAGAAGCAGAATCTACATCTCTGTGAGTTTAAGGCTAGCCCAGTATGTGGAAAGAGTTCCAGACCAGCCAAGACTACACGGTTAAGATTCTCTATAAGTAAAAAAACAACTCTTAGGGAAAGAATAGATGGAAACAGAAGATAATGAACATTATAGCAGGCTAAACGAAGCACAAGCTATCAGGTTCATCTAGGGTTTCTTACCAAACACACCAAGATGAAAGCAGAGGGCTCCAGTACTGATCTGCAGGTCACCAACAAATCCTATCTGGTCCCCACACTTGGCTGGAAGGGAGTTCTGAAGTACACTGGACGAGTTGCTGTGCGCTTACTTTCCAATGGTAGAGGGAACTCCGCATCTAGAATGTTATCTGAGTGCTCAGGAAGGGCCTCTGTGAGTCACGTCTCAAACTTAGGCGGTTTAGATAAGAAAAGCAGAAGGACAGAAGGGGGAGTGGAATGCTGACATTCTCTGCGGGAGCCGAGCCGCTCGCCCTCTCTGCTAGAATGCTGAGGCAGGAAGCGGGAAATTTCCAGGCCTGCCTGGGCTACAGGGTGGGTATTTTTTTTTTTTTTCCTTTTAAATTCATCTTATTTTGTTTTCACCTATGTGTGTGCCACATACGTATGGTGCTCACAGAGGCGGGAAGAGGGTGCTAGATCTCTTGGAACTGGAACCTGACGGAGATGCTGGGGACCGGAGATGGAGGCTCCTCTGTCAGAGCAAAAAGGGTTCTTGACTTCTGAGCCATCCCTCCAGCCCCCTAAGAGCTAGGTGTTTAAAAGATTTATTTATTTAATGTGTCGAAGTGATTTTAAGGCCAACTTGAGAAAAGTTGTCAAGACCTTATCTCAAAATAAAAAGTGGTTAGAGGTCTAGGGCTGTAGATGAGCAGCGGGCACCTGACTAGTTTGTCTTAGGCCTCTGTGTTTGTGTGGCGCAGGGGAATGGGAGGTGGCTGCGAGCAAGACATTGCATGCATATGTATTTGTTAAAGAACAAATAAGAACACATTTACCAAAAAAGATGATTGAGCCGGAGGTCCGGGTTTTGAGGAGGGATGCTGTAAAAAAAAAAAATACATTTAATTAATCTCAAATAGTATCTCTTAAATGTTTGATATGTGGGTAATAAATGAGGTTGTACCAGAATCAGAATGAGTTAAACCGTGTAATCTCTGCAGATTTAAACACACACACACACACACACACACACACACACACACACACCCTGTAATTCAGAAATAAAATAGAATGCAGTGGGTTTGGATATGTTTATCCGGGGGCGATCTGGGAAAAAAAAAAGTAGGTGAGAAGGAGATGCAAACAAGTCCTAAATGATTACAGGGTTTGCACGGGCAGACGGTGATGGTCTCTACGAATGGAAGAAATTGCAATTGCTCCAGGCAAGGGTTACTGAGAATGCAGCTGCCTCCTGGCGGCCTAGCCTGTAGGCACTAGGCTACATTTCACCAGGTGAAGGTACAGTTCCTGCTGTAAAGAATTCCATCAATCAGGCATGGTGGCCCACATCTGTGAAACAGGCAGTGGTGATGCTGAGGCAGGATGGTCACATGTTCCAGCCAGCACAAGCTACAAAGTGAGACACCTACTCAGACAGACTGGCAGACAAAGGCTTCTCTCTGTCATTCTTTTGCATACAACTAAAGCTGATTTTGGTTCTCTATATGGAAATACATAGAATATACTTAAATATATACAGTTGTCTGTGACAAAGGCTCCAGTCCACGCTGATCAACTCATTCAGAAAACAGCTTAGCCTCCTTTCTTTGTTTGTAATCAAATAGCCTGGGATGTCTGAGTCAGAAATTCTTAAAAAAAAAAAAAAAGGCAAGAGTTGAGTAATACCCCTTAACTATTTCTTTCTTTTTGTTTCTGTTTTTGTTTTTCGAGACAGGGTTTATCTGTGTAGCTTTGTAGACCAGGCTGGCCTGGAACTCACAGAGATCCCCTGCCTCTGCCTCCCGAGTGCTGGGATTAAAGGCGTGTGCCGCTGCTGCCCAGCTCTTTAAGTTATTTCTATTGTTATTTTTTTAATTACTTAAAATAGTGTGGACATATAAAGATAAGTTGAGATACTAAAATATAAAGGGTAAAAATGAAAGATTTTATTTCTTACTCTATTTCCAGAATAGCCATTTTAATAGGTTAGTGTCCAATTCTTCTTGAATTTTTCCTAAATGCATATATGCATGTTTATTGAAACAGGGTTTTTCTGTGTTGCCCTGCCTGTCCTGAAACTTGCTCTGTAGACCAGGCTGGCCTCGAACTCACAGAGATCTGCCTGCCTCTGCCTCCGGAGTGTTGGGATTAAAGGCATGAGCTACCACCTGACAAAAATATGTGTTTTTATTTTTTTCTCTATTTTTAAAATTTAAATTAGAAACAAGATTGTTTTCCATGTCAATCCCAGTTCCCTTTCCCTCCCCTCCTCCCCTGCCTCCCACTAACACCCTACCTATCCCAAATCATTTCTGTTCCCCAGGGCGGGTGAGGCCTTCCGTAGGGGGGTCTTCAGAGTCTGTCATATCCTTTGCCATAGGATTTATGCCCTCCCCCACATGTCTAAACTCAGGGAATATCCCTCTGTGTGAAATATGTTTTTTTTTTAAAGTAGTTTTGAACAAAATGTAACGTAATTGATGTGTGATTTTTATGGCTTGACCTTCCACTGAACACATCAGAATTTATTTCTATGCCCATATACAATGTATACAGTATTTGGAAACATTGAATAATGAAGGTATTCAGAAGGCAATACAAAAATAGTATTGTAATATGTGGATATTCATACATGCACATATATAAATATATAAAGACAATTTATTACCATGGTCAAACATTAAATCAGAAGGATTAAAGTAAAAACTAAAGTTTATGAACACCATTTAAAAATATATTTAACATTTTTAAATTATTTTTTTTTCCGAGGCATGGTTTCTCTGTGTAGCTTTGGAGCCTGTCCTGGAACTCGATCTGCATACCAGGCTGGCCTCAAACTCACAGAGATCCGCCTGCCTCTGCTGCCCAAGGGCTAGGATTGAAGGTGTGCACCGCCACTGCCTGACTTTAAATTTAATTTTATGTGTTTGTCTGCATGTATATCTGTGCCCCGCTTGCATACCTGGAGTCACAGAGGACAGAAAAGGGCTTGGATCCTGTGGAGTTATAGACAGTAGTTATAGTTACAGCTAGGGTTATAGAGTTGTGAATCCCCGTGTGGATTTGGGAATCAAGGTTGGTTTTCTAGTAACTTTGGGCTGCTCCTCTTCAGTTTCATAATGCAGTGGTGTGATAGGTTCTGGTCTAAACTCCTCTCTCTCTCTCTCTCTCTCTGTGTGTGTGTGTGTGTGTGTGTGTGTGTGTGTGTGTGAATATTTTTCTTAGCTTCTTTTGTAGGTAAAAGAATTGGGTTTTCAAGCCGGGCGGGCGTTGGTGGCTCACGCCTTTAATCCCAGCACTCGGGAGGCAGAGGCAGGGGGATCTCTGTGAGTTCGAGACCAGCCTGGTCTACAAGAGCTAGTTCCAGGACAGGCTCCAAAGCCACAGAGAAACCTTGTCTCAAAAAACCAATTTGGGTTACATTCCTCCAATCTCAGAAACAAACCATAAAGAAGAGAGAAATATTAAAAGGTTTTATCAAGAACAGTCACACTGTTCAGGTCATACAGCTGTTGGTCTCTCGAGGGTACCAACAGCCCTACCTTTAAAATGGTTAACTGAAAAGCCTGTCTGGGTGGAACAATGGTCTTTGATAACAGAAAAATTACAGGCATCAGAACAGCTGGTACGAGAGTGGCTGAATGCTCAGAATACTGAAAAATCAACCAGCCCTTGGAATTCTCCTGTATTTGTTATTAAGAAGAAGTCTGGGGATGGAGAGATGGCTCAGAGGTTAAGAACACTGACTGCTCTTCCACAGGTCCTGAGTTCAATTCCCAGCAACCACGTAGTGGCTCACAACCATCCATTATGAGATCTGGTGCCCTCTTCTGGAGTGCAGATATACATGGAAGCAGAATGTTGTATACATAATAATACATAAATAAAACAGCCTGGAATTCCCTTGCCTTCTTTATTACCTAAAGGATGGTCTATTATAATGATTGATTTAAAAGACAGCTTTTTTTTTATGGTACCTCTACAAGAACAGGATAGAGAAGAATTTGCCTTCACAGTGCCTACTTATAATAATTCCCAGCGTGTTAAAAGGTATTTGTGGAACATTCTTTTTAAGGGATGTTAAATAGTTCCACCATGTGTCAATATTTCGTACAACACCCGCTGGAAATAATTCATAAACAGTTCTCTCGATGTATAATTTGCCATTATAGTGATGATATCTTACTAGCTGATTCAGACACAGATTAGAACAAATATTTGATGAAGTAAAGAGAATTTTGCCTTGTTAGGGATTGCAAATTACTCCTAAAAAATACAAAGAGGAGATTCTATAAATTACCTAGGATATAAGACAGGTTTACAGAAAACTCAACCACAAAAAGTACAAGCCAGGAGAGATCAATTGCAAACTCTTAATGATTTTGAAAAATTTCTGGGAGATGTTAACTCATGATGGCCCATAATCAGATTAACAACTCAAGGGATAAGTACTTTATTTCAAATCTTACAAGGTGACAATGGCTTAAATAGTTCAAGAAAATGATCAGCTGAGGCTGAGAGAGAATTGGCTCTGGTAGAAAAGAAACTACAGGCTGCACATGTGGCTCGCTTGGATCCAGAGCTTGATTTTCATCCTGGTCATACTGCCATCTATTCATATTCTCCTACAGGAGTTCTTATGCAGACAGAGGGCAATATCTTAGAATGGACATTTTTACCACACAAACACAGTAAAAAAAATAGAGACCTATATAGGAAAAGTTTCTGAATTGATTATGAAAGGAAAATTGAGCCTTCATCAATTAACAAACCCAACAAAAATTGTGGTACCTTTTACTAATGCTGAAATTACCTCATTATGGGTAGAAAATGAACACTGACAAAGAGCTTGCAGTAATTTCTTAGGAGATTAGCAACACATGTCCCAAAAGCGAGAGACTTCAGGTTATAGAAAGAACTAATGGATTCTTCCTCACATTGTAAGAGGAACACCAATTTCTGGAGCCCCATATATTCTATACTGATGCAAATGAATCAGGAAAGGCAGGTTGTAAGTCAGCAAATTTAAGTAAAGTTGTTCAAAACCCTTATGATTCTGTTCAAAAGTCAGAATTATATGCTATTCTTATGGTATTATTAGCTTTTCTTAATTTTCTTTTTTTTCTTAAATTTCTTAATTTTCTTTTTAGAACCTCTTAATATATTACTGACTCTCAATATGCAGAAAGAGTTGTTTTACATATTGAAATGCCTGAACTTGTACCAGAGGATTCAGAATTAACTTTGTTACTCATTCAATTACAAGGAAATATTCAGAAATAGAAATCATCCCTTGTATATAACACATATCAGATTCCATATGGGTCTACCAGGCCCTCTAATACAAGGTAATGATGAAATTGATCAGCTGTTGGTAGGAAATGTGCTAAAAGCCTCAGAATTCCATAAGAAACACCATGTTAATAGCAAAGGTTTGAAGAAAGACTTTTCTATTACTTGGTAACAAGCCAAGGAAATTATAAGAAAATGTCCTACTTGTTCTTTGTATAACCAAACTCTGTTATCCATAGGAAGTAACCCCAAAGGTGCTCAAAGAAATGAAATTTGGCAAATGGATGTTTCATTTTTCAGAATTTGGAAAATTAAAATGTGTGTACCATATGATAGGTGGTGGGCAACTGCTTTAAGTTCTGAAAAGGCTGATTCTGTAATTTAAAAGTTATTAGAAGTTATGGATATTATGGGGTACCTGTACAAAGACAGACAGTGCTCCAGCATATGTCTCCAGTAAAATGAGACTTTTTTGCATATTACAACATAGAGCATATTACAGGTATACCACATAATCTTACAGAACAAGGAGTTACAGATAGATCTAATTGTACTTGAAAAGATATGCTTAATAAACAGAAAGGGGTAATAAAGACCCCAGAGATAGATTACACAATGCTTTATTAACTTTAAAATGCTAATGAGAAAGGAACAAGAGCTGTGGATTTTTTTTTCTAGACAGAGTTTTTCTGTGTAACAGTTCTGACTGTCCTGGAACTCACTTTGTAGACCAGGCTGGCCTTGAACTCACTGATATCCACCTGCTTCTGCCTCCCAAGTGCTGTGATTAAAGGTGTGTGCCACCACTGCCTGGGAGATACCAGGGTATGTATGTATTATCTTGGGGAAGAGGTTTTGCTTTTGTTTCTACAGGAGAAGAAACACATGGATACCATCAAGATTGATAAAGATTAGATTCGAACAGGAAAGACCCCCTGATTCGGGGATAGTTCATCCAACATTGTGACCACTAAATTTAAACTAACGTATAAGACTAACAGATGCCTTTCATTTGATCAAATATAACTGGCCAAAAAGGGAAACTCCTCAAAGTTAGGGTTGGGTCAGGGTTTTGTTTTTGTCTTTCCAGGAGACTAAAAACATGTAAGTAACAAATCTGAAGACCACTGAACAAATTAAACATATGAAGAAGTATGAATCATGCAGAGAAAATGTTCCAAGTAAAAGAATAAAAAACTGACCTAATGGTACAGCACATTTCCATCAGGATAAAATTTCATAAATCTCCCCAAATGTTTATTTCTGATATTCTCTACAGACGTATAATGCAAATGGTCATTTTGTAGTTCAAATTCAATTAAAAAATTACCGCTGGTTTTGGAGTTGGAGTAGGGCTCTCTCCTTTAAAACCAAGCATGATTGATCAAGGAAAATCCAAAATCTCTGTCTCATGTCAGAAGAGCTATCTGGAATGGGAGAGAAGAAAAAACAAAATTAAGGGACTATCCTATTGCCACTATTCTCATAATCCTTTGGTTTTATTTTGACTCTTTAGAATTTTTCTAAATTATAAATATTATCTCAAAATTTATAAGATACACACACACACACATATTAACTTTCTGTTGTGATATTAATGGTCATATAGAGTACTAACTAATTCTAGAAGTAGGTTTCATCCAGGTTCCTGTATGTGATTTCAGGCTTGAGTCTGATTCAGGTAACTAGAAATTAAGCTTTTGTTTCTGGATGTATTTAATAGATTGTGGTCCTTTAACCTCTTCAAGTTCTGCTTCTTATGTCATTTAAAATGTTTAAGTTTTCTGCAGTGAACCATTCCTAACAGTGACCGTTAAGTCTCCAAAAGGATGATGGGGTCCGACAACAATTATTCCACCTGGATTGTGGTAATGCCACTAAGCTGACAAACACTACCCCAAAATCAGCTTTAGACTATAAACTGCTCAGGACAATTTCAAGGTGGTTAGCTAAGATGACCCAGCCTCATAGACTACTCCAGCCAGGACTTCAGTTAAGCCCTACACTTTCCCATCACACTACGACTGGACAACAGCTAGCTCTCCTAGGACTTGACAGTTATCTCAATTTTCTCAGAGTCCCCCAAAGATACTGTTAGCCCCAGACAACAGGAAGTAACTTTAAGAACATGATGCCCAAATTCCCAAAAGGTGGGGTGGATGGGTCTTTGGTCAATTGATGGGTTATGGATGTTTGTCATTGTTTAGGGGGGTTGATTGCAAATCGTTATTGGTCATAGTCAGGGAGGAAACTAAGTAAAGGAGATTAGATTTAGGGATCTCCTGAAAAGAAAAAAAGCTGGGATGTCGGGAGAGGTCCTTCGGTGTATGTGTTTGTCCTATTGGTTGATAATAAAGTACTGTTGGCCAATAGAGAAGCAAGATAGGTGGGCCTAGGAGTCGAGGAGAATTCTGGGAAATGTAGGAAAGAGAAGTCTGGTGATCCAGGCAGGAAGTGACATAGCAGGCAGACTCATATATAAGCAGGGACAAGCAGGAAATTGTCCTCTTGCTCTTGTTCTTCCTCCTGCTCTCTGCTCTACAGAGTTGCCATGTGATCCCGGGAAGAGGACACCAGGGAAGGCATCCTCGAAAGATAAGTCTTATAAAATATATAGATTTATGATAATTAAGACTGAGCTAGCATATAAGAAATCCTAGCCAATTGGCCAGCAGCATTGCAAACTAATATGAAGACTCTGTGTTATTCTGGGTGCCCATGAGGCGGCAGGGATTGGGCGGGTGGAGTAAAGACTTACCGTTACAGTGGGATATAGGAATGATAGGAAAAAGGGTAGGTTATTTAATCTACTTTTAGACTGAAAAGAAAAAAGCAACTACTAGTCTCAAATATTTTAAATTGCTAAACTTCTCTGATGAGGACTGAGAGTCGCAGTTATCTACAGGTAGATAAGAATTTAGAGGGCAGTATGATACGATGTCCATTTAGCAAAATAATAGGTCCAATTCCAGAGGCTATGTGCTTCCCAACTATGGGTTCTTGGGCATATTTGCAGTACCAGGCATGTATAAGCTCTGCCATTGCTCTCAGTTGCTCACCAATACCTGACAGAAAGACTATCTTGAAGACACCATACTGGTTACAGAACATGGAGAAATCAAGTTGGTACTGACCAGAGAGTTTCCTCCTTGGTGGCTAGTTTTCCTAGTACTGGAAGGTGCTACATAGGTTATAGGGTGGGGTGGGGAGAAGTTTATCCACAGTTTAACCCAGCTGTGAGCCCTGTGACCTGCAATGATGACCAGCGTGGCAAGATATGTCCATCAATGCAATGGTGGTGCATATGTTATGGAGGCAACCAACCACTTTCTGCATGGCTTGTGTTTTGAGATAGGGCCTCATCATGTATGTAGTCTAGGCTGGCCCCAAATTCACAGAGATCTTCCTACCTCTGCCTCTGCAGTACTGGAATTAAAGGCATACAGCCTGTCGGGCATATTATTCTGCTTTTATCAAATTTTAAGCTGTTATAAACAAGTATTTCTAAATCTCTCTCTCCCCTCCTC